AGGTAGTATATAGTGAAATTAACTTGCCATCCTACTTCCAACCCTCAGCTATCTAGCTCCTCTCCCTAAAGGCAAACTCTGTAAACCAGGATTTTTGTGTATCCTTCAAGATTTAAAACATACGTAAAACTAGAAATTAGCCAAAAGCAACAAATACAAGTGAACTCAGGTCAAAGTTTGCGCGTCCTAATCACTCTCAGATGCTATATAGAAGACGGTCAACTAGGCTATACTCCAAATGTGTAAGCATTTTCTTCACACCACCTCTACTTCTGTCCATCAAGCCAATACTTCATAGACACTTTATCCTTGTTAAAAGGAGTCCCAGCGGATAATAAAGAAATACATGACCTGCTTGTTTTTAAACAATGTTTTTTCTTTATTGATTTTAGAGAGAGGGAGAGATAGAAACATCAATGAGAGACAACATCAATTAGCCACCTCCTGCATGCCCCCCCACCGGAGATTTGGCCAACAATCTGGGCATGTGCCCTGACTGGGAATTAACCGGCGACCTCCTGGTGCATGGGTTGATGTTCAACCACTGAGCCACACCAGCCACGCGAAATACATGACCTTTTCTCTCAAGCTTACAATTTTGCTAAAGAGACAAAGTAGAAAAGAAATATATTTTCCCAGGATAACCCATTCTCTAATGTCTTCCCTGATCTGAATTCCGTCTAAAACTGAGCTCTGAGGCTCCTTCCCCTCCACCATCACATCCCACCAAACCTGCCCTTCTCCTGAATTCTCTTAATTTCAGATCATGGTACTAACACTCAGGGTAGGTTTGATGGGGGTGGGGTTAAACAGAAACCTAACAGTGATCTTTGAATTTTCATCCCACATCCAGTAAATGAGCAAACTCTGATTATATATTCTAAATATTTCTAAACTCATCCTTATCCTCTCTATCCCCATTTCCACTTAGCTATGTATAGACCCACATCATTTCTCATCTGAGTCACTAACTGGCCTCCATACTAAGTCTCTTCTCTCCAACTCTTACTCCAAACCACTACTCTGAATGCTTCCCATGGTCATGGTACATGGCCCTTTGCTAGTCTGCCTTCTCTACCTACCTCTCCCTCACTCCTGCATCCCATTCAGATATAACAGTATTTCTTCCTCCAACCACTCTGAACTATTTTCTGGTTCCTCCAAGCTATGTTCCACACTTCCTCACCTTGTATATGCAGTTTACCTTGCTTAAAATGCCTCCCTTTTCATAATGCTGTACCAACCCATCCACCTGGCTAACTCCTGTGATGACAAGACCCAATACCCTCCCAGACCAGTTAATCACCTCCCCACTCTGAACAGTTAATCATTCCCTCCATTGTGACATCACAGATCTTGTACAAACTTATATTATTGCTGTTATTTACATGTCAGTCTCCCCTAGTAAATTGGTATTCTTTGAAGTTCTCATCCAGTTTTTATAAAGCTGATGGTCAACCCAATGCACAACAATAAACGAATGTTTAAAAAACAGAAAAATAAACAAATGTTTGTTGTATAAATTAAGTGAATGAAGCTTTATCTTTTTTTCCACATTCCATTCTCCTTTTCTTCCCTTTTCTGATAGCACCCCACAACCATGAGTCATGACCCAGTCTAAATTATAAGTTAGTAATATGATTTTAGAATTCTGATGCCATGGAAGGGGACTACTCTACCCAAAAGCTAAATCAGTGAAGTCCCTAAGTAAAAATAGCAATTTTCCAACAGAACCTTAACTCCAAGAGAAGTATCTTTCCAGTAGAATCTCAAGTCCTCTTGATTCCCATCCCAAGAGAATGACAGGTTTCTAAATTAATTACAAGATTTCCTCATCCTCAGCAGGCCCAATCTAGTCTTAACTTGAACACTTTCTTGTTTAAGATATAACAAGTTTCACCACTAAAATGTTTTCACCAGTGTCTGAGATGCCTGGGGGCAGAGACTTTAGTCTGTAAAGCTTCTTATATAGCTAACATTTACTTGAGTTCCCTGGAAACACCCATTTTAGCACGGTTTGACTTTAAACCTTACTTAACCTTATTTTTGATACTCATTCATCACTGGATAGTTATTTAGCACCTACTCCGTGCTGCATACTATACCAGAGCTCTGGGAACACCACCCATAATATATCTTACTTGCCTGACCTGACTTGTTACCTGACTTGTGGCTTACGTGACAACCATGATGGTGTGGCATGTCTGCATCTGACCCGTTTATCCTGTGCTGGGACCAAGACCCACATGCCCTCATCTTCCAGTCCCCAGTGGAGAGCATTCTATATAAATTTCTAACTCAAGAGTTGCCCAGCTGAGATTATAGCCTTTAGTCAAATCTCTACTTTTTTTCTCTAACTTTTCTTCTCTCTCTGCCAGCATTATCTTATTTTGTCTTTAAAATGTTTTCACTTAACTTCTTTTATAAAGTTGAACATATAATTTTTCCTTCTCCCTCTTAAAAAAAACAACTAACAAAACAAAAACATCAGACGTTACTTGTCTTCTTATTCATACATGGCTCCCAATACAGTGTCAGTAGCTCTACAGAGAATAAAGCATTTCTCATCTCTGCTTTATTGGCACTTTCTGGAATTACAAACTCTATGCTAAATAATTGTGGCAGGTGACAAAACTCTTTGCTTGGCCATAAATCACAAGGTATAAAGAGAGCTTGGTAGAAGCTGAACTTAAAGCAAACACAGACATTCTTCTGACAAATTTGAACAAGATATAATCAGAACTGAAAGGGAAGCTTGGAGTACTGTGAAGGGGAACTTGAAGAAAAACTTGAGCAGGGTATGTCCAGCACCAGTAAAAGTAAAAAATCTAATTCTAAATAGCTGAGAACCAAATCACAGGAAGAGATGTGTGGAAAACATGACAGTGGAGGGACAAGTCACTTCTGATTACTCCAGTCTGGGGGTGATCACTCCAATCTTGAATTACTATAACTATATATGTGGTACCCAATCCAGACTTGTTCTTGTAATGCTTATCTTACTCTCTTGATAAATTCCTTGGCTATCTATTGCATCTTTATAATCTCCCACTGGCAGGCATATTTAAAAACAAAAAAACAATCCCATGCATCAATCTTGAGATTTTTCTGGTGTTAATTTATTTTCCCAGGAAGGTGACCTCACTGAAATAGTATACTAACATCATGTTCTCAGCAATTATAGTTATCATCTAAAAACAGTGTAAGTGTGCCCTGACAGATTTGGCTCAGTGGTTAGAGCGTTGGCCTGCAGACCAAAGAGTTGAGGGTTTGATTCTGGTCAAGGGTATGTACCTCAGTTGCGGTTCATCCCCAGCCAGGGTCCTGTGGGAGGTAACCAGTCGATGTGTCTCTCTCACATCTATGTCTCCCTCTCTCTCCCTCCCTCCCTCCCACTCTATCCACAGATAAATAAAAAAAAATCCTTGTGTGACGATTAAAATAAATAAAAGTTAAAAAGTGTGTTAAAGAAATAATATATATACTAGAAATCCGTTAAATAGTAATGAGACCATTTTCCCAGAACTGTGTTTCATTTTATGAATGGCAAAGGCCAAACAGTGAAGGTAATCATCTTTCCCTAACATGGAAAATATACTTCTAAAATAACAAGCATCTTAGAATGCATACATGCCACAAAATGTGCATTTACAGAATATTCTACATTGGCAAATGTCCCTGTAAAACTAAGTTGCCTGAGGGAACTAATATTTATTGAATACCTACTGTTCCAGGACCAATGATTAATAAATATAATCAAAATTAACACATTATATGCCAGTAACTTCATGATGCACAACACTGGTTTTAAAAATATTCCTGCCAGCCCTGGCCAGTGTGGCCCAATTGGTTGAGCGTTGTCCAGTGCACTGAAGGCTTGTCCTTTCTGGTGGAGGCACATGCCCAGGTTGCAGGTTCGGTCACGTTCAGGAGGCAACCCGATTTCTCTCTCTCTCCCTTAAAAAAAAAAAATCAATAAAAACATACTAAAAAATAAAAATGTGCCTGCCAGTGAGGAACAGGCAAGATTATTTATTAAATAAAGAAGTTCAGGGATCTCATCAAAATTCAAATGATTATTCATAAGGTCTTGTGTAGGACCTGAGTTTTCTAACAAGCTCCTAGGTGATGCTGATGCTACTGCTCTGCACTTAGATAGCAACATTGTAAAACTTATAAAGAATTAACCCTGGCTAGCACTGCTAGCTAAAACTTTACAGCCTTTCATCTTCAATGATTCTATAGTGATAATATTATCATTCCTACTTGACAGACAAGGCTAGGGCACAGAAAAATGACTTTTAATAGATCACAAGGCTGATAAGTGGGGAACCAGGATTCAAACTTAGGTAGACTTGACCCTGCAGGGCACTCTAAACCACTACATGTTATCTCAGTTAACAGGCAGATCAGAATTCAAAGCCAGGGTCAGTTATCTTCGGTGCCATTCTTCCGAGTAGAGTCTTGCTGTAATTAATGTGTCGGGACATCATAATGCCACCCAGCAGGGGAAAGACAAAACGGAGCCTCCCTCTCACTACAGGAAGAACTGCCGACGGGTCGGCAAAAGCCTGGATCTTCCCGCGAGAGACCGGGAACAACACTCAGGCAGCGGCAGGTCCGCTGGTTGGCCGAACGCAGGCGTCAGGGGGCGGGGCCTGCACCAAGGGTTCCGGGAGGGACGTACCAACGTGCGCAGGGGAGGGGTTTCCAGGGTTAGCACTACGTTGCTGCCTTTGCACCCTGCGCGGATGCTGAGCAACTCTTAACTCAGGCCCTCTTCTCCCTTGAGGAGTGAGTGCTGAAGTGCCGGGGCTCTCTTTGGCCAAAGCTGTCTCCTTAGAGACTCTTCTTCCGGCCCCTCAGTCGAGTGGGAAGCCCCGGAAATGGCGGCCGAAGGTACTTAGCCAGTCGGAGTGGGAGAGTGTCCAGTCGCTTTACCAACTGCACCACGCCTCGCGCAAATCCACCCACTCCTTTGCCGCCACCGTAGCCCTTACCAGCTCTTTGGGCGGCTTCTCCTGGGTTTTTCCAAACAGCCCCATGGCTTATTGAACTCGTCTTGCCCTCTTCCGGCCTTCGTTCCCTGCTCCCAGGCAGGTCCCGGGCAGCCGCCTGGGCGGGGCCGGTGAGAGGGAAGGAGTCGAGACGCCCGGAGAAGGGAGCGGCCGCAGTAGGGCACTACGCATGCGCAGAACGGTCGGGCGGAGTTTTGTCAGAAAGGTTGACGCAATTGCGCATATTCTGGGACGGGATTTCCGAAGGGAGGTGTTGGTTGTTTTTTTCGTGAGCTATATAAGTGATTTATCTGGAAGATAGGAATTCATTGACTCCACCTGGAATTACAGCTGCTCCAGGTACAGCACCTACACCTATATATTGTTGCGCCGGAAGGTCGTATCTCCACCCAGGCAAAGTACGATTACAACCGCTTTCCAAACAGCTTCACCTTGTCGGCGACTCGCAGGCAGCAACCAGCAGAGCTACTCCTCCCCTCTGTTGTCACCACCATCAATCACCTCGTCCTTAAAACCTGGGCATCATCGTCTCTCCCCTTCTTACCAGTTCCCAACAGTTGTAAACTTCTCAATATGTTTGGACTCCAGCCCTTTGCTTTCCATCCCAAGTATCCCAGCTTTTATTCAGGCCACAGCCATTTCAGACGTGGGTGACGTGTGTGTGCTCTTACACTCCAAATGGACCCTGGCCTTAATCAGATTCTCTGAAGAATCCGTCACTAAAAAGGACTAGACAACCTCCAGCTGGCCAGTCTGATTGAACTACACCTGTGAGCTGATGGTTGCTGTTATTACCTCCCCTCATGATGGTGAAGAGACCATACATTTAGTGCTTCAACCCCATACTCCCATCTCGTGGAAATATAATGCGGTACAATCACTTTAAAAACATTTTGACAACTTCTGAAAATGCTGAACACACCTATCTTATGTCATTCCACTGCTAGCTATTTATCCAAGAGGAGAAAAAGCATATGGCCTTACAAAGACTTGTACACAATGTTCATAGCATTTTTATTTATAATAGACAACTAAAAATAATTCAAACGTCCATCAACAGGTGAATGGATAATCCAATTGTGATAGATCCATACAATAGAATACTACTCAGCATTAAAAAGACCAAGATTTTGATACATGGAACAACATGGATGAATCTCAAAATAATTATGCTGAGTGAAAGAATCCAGAAAAAAGCCCATAACGTATGATATAGTATTCTAGAAAATGGAAACTATAGTGACAGAAAGCAGATAACTGGTTGCGAGGGGACTGGTTGGCTCAGAAAAGAAGGAGTAATTGTGAAGAGACAAAAGGAAGCGTTTAGGGGTGATGGAAATTATCTTAATTGTGGTGATGGTTTCACAGATGTATACAGTGTGAACACAAATGACACTATGTACAGTTTATGTCAATCATACTTAGTGTACTTCTTTACAAAATAATGGTACGTATTCATTGTAAAAAGTATATCCCTGATTTATACTTCCTCAGGGATAAAGGTCTCAAAGGATTCACACCAACTAGTTACTGTCAATATTATAATGATTATAAATAGTTGGTGTGAATCCTTTGAGACCCTTTTCTTTGGATAATATACCATGCTTTTATTTAATTGAGTTATTATACATTTTATTCTGCAATCTCCTTTTATTATTATTTTTTTCTTTATTGATTTTACAGAGAGAGGAAGGGACAGGGAGAGAGAGACAGAAACATTGATGAGAGAGAAACATCAACTGGCCACCTCCTGCACACTCCCCACTGGGGATCAAGCCCACAACCCAGCATGTGTACCAACCAGGAATCAAACCAGCGACCTCTTGGTGCGTGGGTCGATGCTCCACCACTAAACCACACTGGCCAGACTCTGCAATTTTCTTTTTTTAAAAAAATGTATCTTTATTGTTGAAAGTATTATAGATGTTCCATCTTTTTTACCCATTGACACCCTCCTCCCCAGTCCCGCCCTTGCCCCCCTCCCCCTTCACCACACTATTGTTTGTGTCCATTGGTTATGCATATATGTATATAAATTCTTTGGTTTATCTCTTCCCAACCCCTCACCCCCCCTTCTCTCTGAGGTTTGTCAGTCTGTTCCCTACTTCCAGTATCTGGATCTCTTTTGATCATCAGCTTATTTTGTTCATGATAATTCCATAAATAAGTGAGATCGTGTGGTACTTGTCTTTCTCTGACTGGTTTATTTTGCTTAGCATAATACTCTCCATGTCGCCTCAAAGGGTAAGAGATCCTTCTTTTTATAGCTGTGTAGTGTTCCATTGTGTATATGTACCACAGCTTTTTTATCCACTCATCTACTGATGGATACTTGAGCAATTTCCAGATGTTAGCTATTGTAGATAGTGTTGCTATGAAATTAGGGATGCATATATTGCTTCTGATTGGTGTTTCAAACTTCTTAGGATATATTCCTAGAAGTGGGTTCACTGGGTCAAATGACAATCCCATTTTTTAAAAATCAACAATTCCATTTTTAATTTTTTGAGGAAATCCTATATGTTTTCCACTGTAGCAGTCTACATTCCCACCAGCAGTGTACTAGAGTTCCCTTTTCTCCACATCCTCACCAGCACTTGTTTGATGGTTTATTGATGGCGGCCATCCTGGCAGGTGTGAGGTGATACCTCATAGTTGTTTTAATTTGCATCTCTCTGATGATTAGTGGCGTTGAGCACTTTTTCATATGTCTCTTGGCCATTTGTATGTCCTTTTTGGAGAAGTGCCTATTCAGGTCCTCTGCCCAGTTTTTAATTGGATTGTCTTCCTTTTGTTGAGTTTGAATGAGTATTTTATATATTTTGGAAATTAACCCCTTCTTCAATGTATCATTGGTAAATATGTTGTCTCATATAGTTGGTTCCTTTTTTGTTGTTGTTGTTAATCCTCATCTGAGGATATTTTTCCATTGAGATTGGAAGGGAGGGAAGAAGGGAGAGAAACACCAATATGAAAGACACATCAACTGGTTGCCTCCCGCATGACCCTGGCCAGGGCTGGGGATCAAACCTGCAACCCAGGTACATGTCTTTGACTAAAATCGAACCTGTGACCCTTTGGTTTGTGGGCCGAGGCTCTAACTGCTGAGCCAAACTGGCCACGGCTCCTTTTTAATTTTGATGCTGGGTTCTTTTGTTGTGCAGAAGCTTTTTAGTTTGATGAAGTCCCAGTTCTTAATTTTTCCTTTATTTCTCTTGCCCTATGCAATGTAGTGGTGAAAATTCTGCTAAGTGTGATGTGGTTCTGCTATAGTTCCATGACTGACATTTAAGTCTTTTAGCTCTTTAAAAAAATTTTTTTTCTTTATTGATTTTAGAGAGGAAGGGAAAAGGAGAGATAGAAACATTGATGAGAGAGAACATCGATTGGCCGTCTCCTGATTGTCCACCACTGGGGATTGGGCCCACAACCTGGGCATGTGCCCTGACCGGAAACTGAACCAGCGACCTCTTAGTGCATGGGTCGATGCTGAACCACTGAGCCACACCAGCTGAGCTTTTATCGCTTTTGAGTTTATTCTTGTATATGGTGTAAGTTGGTAGCCTAGTGTCATATTTTTGTATTACCAGTCCAATTTTCCCAATACCATTTATTGAAGAGACTGTCTTTATACCACTGTATGCTCTTGCCTCCTTTATCAAATATTAATTGAGCATAATGTCTTGGGTCAATTTCTGGGTTCTCTGTTCTGTTCTATTGGTCTGTATGCCTGTTCTTGTGCCAGTACCAGGCTGTTTTGATTACAGTGGCTTTGTAGTATAACCTGATATCCAGGTTGTGATCCCTCCAACTTTGTTCTTCTTTTTCAACATTGTTGTGGCTTTTCGAGGTCTTTTTTGGTTCCATATAAACTTTTGGAGTTTTCATTCTAGATCTGTGAAATATGCTATTGGTATTTTAATAGGGATTGCATTGAATCTATAGTTTTTCATTGATGTTAATATCTATAGCTAAGGGATTCCTTAGCTGGAATGTACTAACATTTATTTAATAGTTTCTCTTTGGATGATGTTAAGTGGTTTCTAATTGTCCCTATTAAATAATAAATATAGACACAGCTTAAATGTGTCTACAAATGCCCTTCATATAGGTTGTATAGTTTTGAACTACCAATAGTGTATGAGAGCATCCTCTTCCTTAAATCTTTGCTAACAATGACTATTATAAATTTTTTACATTTTGCCACTCTGATAGTATAAACTATTATTTTTAATTTTCATTTATATGATTACCAGTCTAAATGAACATCGTTTTGTATATTTTTTGTCTATTTGAATTTGTTCTGTGAATGCTTCTCTGTATCCTTTGCCCATTTTTCATTGAATTATCTCCCTTCCTCCCACCCTCGCTGCCTTCCTTCCTTTTTCCCTTCATTCCTTCCTTCTCTCTCTCTCACTCTTTTTTTTTTTTTTTATCCTCACCTGAGGATATTTTTCCATTTTTTTGTACAGATAGAGTGGGAGGGAGAGAGAGGAATGGAGAGAGAGAGAGAAACATTGACGTGAAGGGACACATCGAGTGGCTGCCACCCGCACAACCAACCAGGGCCGGGGACAAACTGCAACCGAGGTACATGCCCTTAGCGGGAACCGAACCCCGGTCTCTCGGGACCGCAGGCCGACGCTCTAACCGCTGAGCCAAACCGGCCAGGGCTCTTTCTCACTCTTTTTTAATGGAAATAAGCTCTTTGAAAATGAGAGTTCTGTGGAATTTTTAAAAATACTCTTCACCATATCCCTCTTTATTTTTTCTGAGGATGAATTATAAGGCAGCAATTTTTCAGATAGAAGGACACTGGACTTCCAATTAGTCGATGATATTTATTGAATGTCTACTGTATGTCAGGCATTCTACAGACTCTAGGAAAACTGCAGTGAACAAAAAAGAACCTCATACTACCTGGTGAGAAAGAAAGTGGTGATAAATAAAAACAATGCTAATAAACAAAACCGAGCAAATTACTACAAATGTACGAAATTCTGACTATTAAAAAGAATGTTGTGATCGGTGAATCTTTCCTGAGTAGGTAATATATAAGCTGAGACCTGAAGGATGAGCTAGTAGAGAGATGAAGAGTATCCAGTGCAA